AGTTGAACTGAAGGGCTGCTGTACAGGCTATTCACTATAGCCTGTATAGCTCCCGAAGTTGGCCGAGCGGCTCAGTCGAGCCGAAGGCATATGGTTTGGCTCGACTGAGCCGAGGTGAAAGCCGAGGCTGGCCGAACAGCCGGCCGACAGCCTGCTACTGACAGCTGGGCAGAGCCAGCTGTCATCTCACGGCTGGCTCCGGCCACTTGCATAACAGGTAACCAGGGACGCTGATCTGTCAGCACACTGAGAACCCGGCGGAGCCGCCATGATATCATGAGTTCTCAGTGTTTAATGACAGTTCAGCTTCCCCTGGTTAGCTAGTGACCAGGGGACGCTGAACTGTCATGAGAGCTTGTCAGAGCCAGCGGTGATATCAAAGCCGGCTCTGCTAAGCTCTCATCGTAATGACAGAACAGCGTCCCCTGGTTACTGGGTAGCCAGGGACGCTGAGCTGTCATTACGATAAGAGCTTAGTGGAGCCGGTAATGTTGTTTTCTACTTTTTTCCCACAGTTTTTCTATTCTGCTGGGTACCACCGAGGTACCCAGCAGAATAGCTGAGCCGAATGCCGCTCACTCACTGCTGTTCGGCCTCTATGAAAATAGGCCGAACAGCAGCGAGTAGCCTTCCGGAGGTTCGGCTCAGCCGATCCAGATGTTGGATCAGCTGAGTCGAACTCCTTCTGCACTTCGGGAGCTTTGAGAGAGTCTACAAAAATATAAAAAGCAATTAGGTGATTCATCCATCCAATGTTTAACCAAAACTACAATTTTTCTGTGGACCTGAACACAAAAAATAGATGACCTTATTTTTCAGTCTTCCCTTATTTGATATGATATTGTGCTGTTTTAAGGAAAAAGGCAGGTCACCTTAAAAAAAGGATATGCAGAGAAGACCACCAATCCCATCAATAATACAGGAAATAGGTGTGAAAAATGATGAGTGCAAAATGGAGGATAAATGTTTATTAAGTAGAATAATGAAAACATTTTCAACACTTTTTATAGTAGACCAGGTTACTTAGCCACTGTTCACAATAAGGCGATACAACATTGCAGAGCTGCTGTCATGTGATGTGCTGCAGTAGGGCAGCCTATTAATTTGAATGAGCTGCCTACAAGAGCTAAATCACACTCAAAAAGAGTTTGCACCTGTTTTAAATTTGCATTGCACATTGAATGGTAATAGGTTAATGTGTGATGTGGTGTGATACAATGCTCATGCGCTGGCTAGGTGCGTTGGGGTGCTATTAGGAAATAATTGCACTGCAGTGCATTTAACATTGCTCCCGCATCGCAAGTATAGATATAGATTTTACTAGTAACATAGCCTAAAGATGACACAAATAATGTACTGTTTGATCACAGCCTAGAAGCCCTGGGTAAAGCAATGCAAAGTATCACATTTTTCTCAGGAAGCTCAGGTTTATTTCTGCCACCCAATTCTGAAAACATGTCTCTTTCTATAAGAATCACATTGTGTCGTGATACCAAATACATGAGCCTTGCAGAGCTGAGATTTTCATGCTTCACAAATCTCTGTACAATCTGTTATCTTCTTATTTACTTTCTTTTTCCCAAAACAAAGCCAAATATAAGCTGAATATCACGCTAGTCTGCTCTCATTTCATAACCAGGCTTTGTTTTATGTAAATATAAATGCATCAGAATAATGACTTCTAATTAGCCAAGAAATCATTACAGCATGTGTAAGGAACCCTTGCCACACCAGATGTTGCTGAACTACATTTCCCATGATTCTCATTATCCAAATACCATAACATCCCACTTTGTTATGAAAATACTAATACGATTTCTTGCAATTGCAAATATGCAAAGAATTTACAAAATTATATATTTCTTATAGGTTGTAACATTATGTTACTTTACATAGTTTAATATCTATGCTAAAAATAATCACATGGTCATTTTTGCATTTGATATACACCTGCCTAAACAATTTTATATATATATATGTTAAGTTGGTTTAGGCAGGTGTATATCAAATGCAAATATGACCATGTGATTATTTTTAGCATAGATATTAAATTATGTAAAGTAACATATATGTTGTAGTATTTTGTGTCTATTTCACCTGTATTTCCCTTACTAGATTGTATTGGATCTTTTTCCCTTTTTCAATAGAACTTTGATGGAAACAGAACACATTGCGATTAGTTGTGTTTGCTCTGCATTCTGTAAAGAAACCATGTTATACCTGCAGCAGTCTACCAAACCCTAATTTTGACCAGTTCTGACACTTTCAGATTGTGGCAGTTTGCTTGCTAAGCCCCCTGCCCCACACATTCCTATTGGCCCATCACTATTATGTGCAGACTCACTGACCAACAAGAAGGGACAGGCAATCTTTAGCATTATCAGGAAGCAATGAAGCTTTGCCTGTCAGAGCAGTTCAGGACAGGAAGATTTGGGAGTCTGCTGCCGCTATGTGCCAGCACCTCTAAGTGTCTACACTTTATTTCTACAGAAGGTTTTTTGTTTAAATCTCTTTAAAGCAAAACTATAGGCAAATGTTTACAGTAAGATAACTATACTACTTCCTGGTTCATCATTATTGCTTACTGGATCAACTCCCTGCTCATCCATTGTCCAATGAGCTGGCCGGATACATAAAGGTGATATAAGAAATTCTATTGTTGAAACAGGAAATAAGTGTGCCACCTGTCTGGCTTTGCATTTTAGAAAATGTGTGCAAATCATATGGTTGATTGTACAGAATTTGTAATTTTTTTGGCAAGTATTTTTCAACTGCGTATTTAATTGTATATCTAGAGCTAAGTTTCAACAGTCTTTCTGGGAAGGAAAACAAAGAGTAAGAGAAGAACTAAATATCAACATATCCTGGAGAAAATACTGCTTTAGGCTCTCTTCAGTGCAAGCCGCATGTGTGAAGACCGAGACAGAAATGTATTTTAAAGATAAGTATTACAGTTCAAATTGGATGATCCCCTTCAGCAGAAATTAACAAAGCATTGTGGATTGCAAAATATAACTTATTTACCCAACAGCATGTTGGGGTTGGTGATAGTTTGACCATGCACTTTAACCTTTATCAAGCCTAGAAAAAGGTTTATTTGTATGATAGAACCACCATGCTGCAGTTGGAATAATGTTATTCTTTACTCATGGCACTGAAAACCCTTTACTCGTAAAGTTTGCCAAAGCCAAAACTTTTTATTTTGTAGGAAAAAATTTTCTTGCTGTTTCCCAATGGAGAGATATTCATCGACGTCTGTCCCGAACACACAAGAGGACATTTCTACAAAGTGATGGGAAATCCCCTTTTAGTAAGCCGTCACCGGAACAGGTAATCATTGGAAGATCCCTTATGTCCTGTTCCAGTAATGACTGCAACATTTTGGATTATCCATTGCTTCCTGTTCCAGTGAAAATGGTGAGGACAAATAGAGAGCGTGAAATTACAAAAATGTGGTTTTGACTTAAGAAACACTTTAAGGCACCCACAAACTCCAAGTAAATGTTTTCAATTTAGCTGGATTTATGGATTTCTGCCCAATCTCTTTTTCACCCAACTTTCATGTCAACTATTTTGATTAGGCTGGGTATTCACTATATTTTAACCACAAGAAGTGCAGTATAGCAGCAGTCTGCATCTATTTGATCAGAAAATGAACATAGTAAACAGGCCATTTTAGTCAAACGGATCTCTTACTATACCAATGCCAGTTTACCATGGTCCTTTTTTTAAACATTTTTTGTACTCTAGGTATAGCAAGATTGTTGCACAGGTATGCCAACTTCATTAATAATGTGTGGCATTTTATCTCTTGTCAAGATTTAAGAAATGCATTAAACATGGCCAATCTTTTGCTTGTGTGCTCCATGGTTGATATTTCATTAGATATTCAGACATGGATATCTAATCTTATCAGCCTAGTAAAGTAAGTTTAAATATTTTCCAGAATTTTATATAAAATATGTAATATACCACAGTTTATACCCGTTTTGTAATGTTTCATCTATTGCAGACTTATTTCTCTTGTCCCTTTTCACTTGCAAGATCTTTATTTTCAACAGAGAGTGTGATTTTAGGTGTACACATTCCTTGTTTGGTGCTATTCTGAGGCAATCAGGGTGGTTAATTTACTTAAAGCAAATAGACTGTTCACTTTTCAAGGGAATGTTCCCTTAGCTTGGTGAGTGAGAGGAAGCTCTGCTTACTTCCATCATCCAAACATGCCAGCAATACAGTACTGTTTATTGTTTCTTTATTTATTTACATATACTTGTGTATTCTTAGCAAAGTGAAATGTCCCCTCATTCCCAAAGCCAAGGAAAATTGCCTTGCAAAGTGCAAAGTCCTTTGCAAAGTGATTTACCTGTTGTAAATCAAACCCAATAGTTCATGATCCTCAACAAGGGCTTATATTCAAACATTACCCTAAAGCCTTAACAGTCTTGCTGGAATGGATACATTAGAAACCAGTTAAAGAGCTGAGATACTTACCTTTCCATTAGATAACAATGCTCTAGGCTCCTTCCTGTGCTGGTCAGGTGACAAAAAGCCTAGACACATGCCAGTCTGAAATGTAATTATCTCTTGCCTGCTAGAAAAGATCACATGACCAAATATCTGGGCTTCTGGTTTTGTGATTTCCACATGAGGGAGCTCAAGGTATTTCTGGCTGAGCTACTTTCAAACATTTCTCAAAATCTAGCTTCAGCATGGTCTGTGAGAAAATTTTATATACTCTATGCAAACAACTCAAATCTTTCACAACACTAATCTTGGAAATGATATAAGGGAGATCATGGAAAACAAGGCTAAATGTAGAGTTTTTCTTCAAGCTCTGAACAAAATAAATTTCAAAATTCCACAGCAAGGTCTCATGGAGAAAGAGTTCCTAATAATTGTACTATAAAACAAAAACAGACACCGCTGGTCTTGTAAACAAACATTTATATTATACTGTTCTATGAATAGAAGTATTATTCTGCAATGAGTCTCATAGTTACCATTTTTAAAGCCCGTTCTATGTCTATCCCTTGGCTCCAAGGAACTGCAGGATTTGCCAGGCAGTCTCCGGCACTCCCTCTTCTTGAGACATCCACTCGTTGCCTTCTTAAGTATCGAAATGCTTCTGCAATTACCAGGACTGCATCATGGGTCAGTGCAGATGTATACTAAACATAACAAAAAAGAATACATGACACACGGTGACCGACACTGTATATATAATCACAGTGAGAAGGTTGTTAACCTATAATACTGATTTTTTTTCTTAAAGGAGAACTATGGGGTTAGGGCTTTCCCCCATAGTTCTCCCTAGGGTAACGGGATGTCATAGACTTACCCGGACAGGAGCTCCGTCGCCTCGGCCCGTTGTCTCGGCTGTGACGTCATGGCCGACTCCTCCCACTGGGCGCGACGCCTCCTCAAAATCACAGGTGAGTCAGTCACTCAACGTTTTATCATTGTGGAACATCGAGCGACTGACTCTGTGAGAAACAGAGCCACAGACCGCCATAGCAGCAGAGAGTGGGGTTCAGACTGTCCTACCGAGGACTCAGATCCTGACCATCTGCTGAGGCTCACCTCTGCCATACCAGGATACCAGCTAATCCTCTTTAACTCACTCCACACCAGAACCGCAAATACGACGGGATCTTCCCCCTTCTATTAGTAGCCACTTCAAAGCATACTCTGCTATATACTATTGATGAACTGTGTCCTTCAGTACAGATTGTACATGCTATATCAGAGTATTCACTGGATGGCATATCTTACTCAGGCTGGTACCATCTGTCAGTAATACTACACTGTAAGCTTCCAAAGTATATTAGTGAATGCTACAGGCTAGTACAGCATACTATTGTATACAGAGGAGCGGGAAGTGGTTGTAAGCAAGCACCTTCCTGCGACCCCTTCTGGGAAACTACAACTCACCTCCCGCCTCCTCTCTGAATAGATAACCTGCTCACCATATCCCCTAGCTAAACCCTTGACCCTCATTGGTCTTATTCCAGGTAACACTTCTAGGACGGGTACATGATGTGGAACGGTCCCCCATCGCAAGTGTATATGGGTTCCGCCAGACTGACCGAACCCTTACTCCTTGAGAGTTAGTTCCGCAGCTGAGATCCAGGAGTGTATTGACCTGCTGGACTGTGACACGGGAGGACACAAACTAGCGTCCTTCCGTCACCCAAAGCTCAGTATACCGCGAGCTAAAGCTCGCGGTATACTGAGATGCCGCAGTATATAGCAATGGAGCTACAGCTCGCGGTATACTAAGACGCCGCAGCTGAAGCGGATCCCGACAATCATGTCTGGATCCGCCCAGCTGCGTGAGTGACAGCTGGCCCTGCCTATCTAGAGGCAGAGCCAGCTGTACCCGCCCCCTCCGCTGTCCATTCCGCCAGTCAGCGCCGGAGGATCGGAGCAGGGAGGGGGGAATCCAGCCACACCCCTGTCACGGCAGAGAGCTGTGACAGGATCGAGAAGTGATCGAACGCCGGTATGTGTTCGCTCACTTCCCGATCTACTGAGCCGACCTGTGACAGTCTCATTGTCACGGGTCGGCTAGAACTATGAGGTGAGTGGAAAGCACTCATCTCATAGTTCTCCTCTAAAAAAAGATTAGGGTCATTTTATGTTTTATTAAAAAAATGTTTTTTTTTTAAATAAAACCTGCTTAAAACAAACATTTGGCAAGTTCCAACATTTACAATTTGAAAGTGGAACGTAGCTGGGATGGGGGACCAAGGAGAATCACAGGAGCACTATGCTACTTGCACATTATGGTAAACCAATCTCTGAGCGTGCCCTCCTCCAGCAATGACAACTCTCCACTTTCTGTCACCAATGTTGCCATCTTCTGATTATTTTTGTGCATCCACCATCTTTCTTCTTTGCCTCTTTTGCCAGTGATAAAGCAATGGAGCTAAAATGTCATGGCACCTTACTTAAGTTTTTGACATCACACCAGAGTGTACACTGCACTGCGCATGCAATGCCAGTAGTTTACATTGAAAAACAGGTAATAGAGGTTTTTTGGTTGAACACACTATCAAAGATTCTTCTACCAAAAAAACTTCCAACAAATTTGTTTTCAGGTTTTAAAATATTGCAATATTTATTCAGATGCATCCCTCTATTCCTTTCGCTAGCATCAAATATTTAATCTATGCACATAATTTCTCAGGTAATTTTGTAACCAGCTTTCAAGGCAAATGTAATTAAAGTGATAAATTCAGGCAATCAACTGCCAACAGTTTTGTTTGTTTCACATTTGAAATTGTTGGTGGTAGAACAATTTATAGTATTGGTTTGTATTGGCAAATGTTTGGGTTGTTTTTGCGATTGGAAACTGAAAGTGGTTGAATTTACATAAAAACTGGCAGGTGTGACCAGCATAGATGGGTATATTTCACATTTATAATGTTAAGGACATTATACAGCCCAGTGGGTATGAACAATACAAGGTTAATTAGTTGTTATTACTTTTTACTATACTTTGATTAAGGCAAAGTTATAAATTGTTTTTCTTTAATTAAATCAAACAACCAAGACTCCATAAAATGTAATTGAAAAATTGAAATACACCGGACTACAGTTAATACAGAATATTTATTCAATGCTGTTTTACTTTTTTTGCTCAATATTAATTACACAATTCAAATATACAGTTTTAGAAGCAATTTAATTTGTTACCTTTCTAACCATGAACTGTTAATCTAGCCTTTAATGTGCAATTAAAATCTGCTTTGCATTATTTAAAAATAACACTCCTTATACTAGGTACAAAGGTAGGGATAGATATTACATTATAGGAAGGGTTATGTATTTGTTAGGAAACAACCAAGATGTTAAAATATATATATTAATGATAATAATCTATATAAGGCAGAGCTTACAATTGTTATGGGTCCATGAATCAGCGAAGACTCAGCACTGCCTGCCCCTGATGCATAATTAGGGGATTATTCACAAAGCTAGCCGAAGGATCAGCCGTAGCTTTGGGGGATCCTTCAGCTAGCTTCGGTTGTGTAAGCCCTTCGGTTCAGAGGTACTGAAGGGCTAATGTACGGGCTATTCTCTATAGCCCGTACAGCTCCCGAAGGCGGCCGAGCAGCTCAGCCGAGCCATAGGCATATGCTTTTGCTCGATTGAGCTGAAGTAATAGCCGAAGCAGGGCAAACGCCTCGCAAATTACATCTGAGCCAGCCATGATGACAGATCAGCATCCCTAAATGACAGATCAGCATCCCTAAATGAACTGGGGACACTGAACTGCATTAAGTAATGACAACTGGGCGGAGCCGGCCTTGACATCACGGCTCCACCCAGTTGTTATTCCTTGGCACAGGACCTGCTAGAAGACTGGCCAATAGGAAACAATGCTCTGTGGCATTCGGCTATTCACTTACTGCCGTTCGGCCCCTATGGGAATAGGGGTGAACGGCAGCGAGTAGGCTGCCGGAGCTTCGGCTCAGCTGATTCAGATGTTGGATCGGCTGAGTCAAAGTCCTTCTGCACTTCGGTTCAGCTGAACATGCAGAGCATGTTCAGCTGACTGAAGTGCAGACGATGTATGGCTGATTCAACTGATGTACGGCTTAAATCAGCCGTACTGACCTGTAGTGAATAGCCGAGCGTTGTTCGGCTCACTTCACTACGGCTCATTTATTCACTCAGCTGCCTCCGGCAGCTTTATGAATAACCCTATTAATGTTCATATGTTCATATGGCAAGTAATTTAGCACAAATAATTTAGTTTTATTGGGAATGTTCTGATCTTCAAATATAAAAAGGGGCAGGTTTTACTTAAAATTTTCTAAAAGTTATATGAAACGTTTGGATTTGTGACATAAGGAAAGGGGAAATTATCGAGGGGCGATTATATTACTCCTCGATTTCTTTCATATGTACAAGACTAGCTGAATCCAGATGAGGTTTTCGGGTAGACTTTGGGTCTGGGTAATCCAGTTTGGATTTTTTTGTCTCTCACCTGGGTTGTTTAATTGATTAAGGATTAATTATTCAGGTGATATAAAAGGGGAAGGTTGGAGCATGATGCTGCTCTGGCCCGGGACTCAGACAGCCTTCTGAGAGAGCGGCAATTTGGATATGTTTGTGAGTAAAAATACTTTTGGTTTTATGAGGTGGCTGAGAGAAGCTCATCACCTGTTAGAGAGGAAAACCTGTATATTTAGGTAGAGCCTGGAAGGCAAGGATTTATTTTCTGTTTTATTGCAACCTCTTAAATAAAACTGACTGCAAGTCAGATTGAAAAATAACTTTTGCTGCCTGGACTACCTTTTTCCTTTTTGTTTGGCTCACTTCACTTCGGCTGGGTTATTCACTCGTCTGCCTTCGGCAGCTTTGTGAATAACCCCCTAAGTATTTTCCAAAGTTTTTACCTCAGAATATATTCAGTTAACCAATGAAAGCTATCGTCTACAGTTGGCAACTTGATACAAACACTTGGGGAGAGTAGCAAATAGGAGATTGGAGTATGCAGCCTATGATAATAATAAAATTGTCTCCAAGAAGGAATAGAAAATTCCCTCTAGGATGCTCCTGAGAAAACTAAGGTTCTTTAATGGGACTGAATGAATGAGTATAATCTGGAGCAGTGTATCACACTTTCCTGGAAATGTTAGGTCCAAGGGTAATTAGTATGCCAGATTGGGTGAGTAGAATGTGACATTTGGAATTAGGAATGGTTTTCTGGTTCACTAGCATAAGTGTTTGAAAATCTCTAAGCATGTAATTTGCCCCCTCCAGTACATACAGTATACTGTATATTACATATACCGGCTTTCTCTGGTATAAATATACTAATTAATTAGAGGCGGAGAAAATGGTATTAAGTGACTTTTCAGCTGTGCACTGCAATTTTCATGGTGTGGCTTTCCTGCTGATAGAAATGAAAGTTGCAGTTTGTGTTGCTCATTCACAAACAAGACAATCAATAAAATACAGTGCAATTACAAGAATCTTTTTAAAGTGGCTGTGAAATTATATATACATGTATGTTTACTATAATGTGTTATTTAGGAGTTTGAACAAGATGCCATAGACAGAGAGGTATACTATACCTTTAATGGTGAATTCCGTGCTTCGGGGAACTCTCGTTCATCCAAACGTACCCATCTCTGTAAAAACTGCTGGACAAGTGGGTTCTCATTATTCACAATCTGAAATCCGGTAACATTTGCTCCACCATGCATGACTCTCTCCAATGAAATGCCTGTAAATCCCTGTGTTTGTGGAAGATAAAATAATAAAATTAATTTTCTGACTAGATCAAGTTTTGTAAAGAATCCTGAACATTTCGCAAGTTTTTACATTCCTTTTATGAGGTAGGCCAGATGGGTGTTTTACCAATAAACCAGGCTGCTGTATTTCTAAACAGAAATTGCTACCGGTTAAGAGAGGTCAAAAGCTATCATCTTTTCCACACAAGCCTGGAACCGTGTAATGATGCAATAAGGACTGTGGCATTTGTTTTATGATACAGCAACTAACAGACAATTTTGCTATGTTACACTAAAGTCCAGTTTCTCAGTTATAATGAGAATGTTGCCATCATTTAAAATCATTTTAAATATTCCTGTGAACTTGTATTTTGTCACTGGGGCCCTCTCTGCTGGCACGCGAGCCCAGGTTCATGGACCACCAATGGAAGTAGATCCGACCGACCCGGATCGCCTCAGTATGCGAGCCGGGCCAGTCACAATAAGGCAGCGGCCTCTAAACAGGCAGATTAGTCGGCCGCTTCCTCCTCGCTAGGACGCCAGGAGGCCCCTGTGAGCGGCCGTCTCATCTGCCTGTTTAGAGGCCGCCGCCTGATTGTGACCGATCAGACTACAGAGGTTATAAGTGTGTGATGTGTGTGTTTCATTACGTGTGTATGTGCATGTGTTTTATTAAGTGTATAAATGTTTGAATATGCGTGTTTCCCTATTTTGCTTAAGGCCCCATTCACACTGTGCGTAAAATCCCACTATTTCTCGCATTTTTGCCGTGCGATATTGCAAGAAGTCGCAGGCCAATGTTATTCAATGGAGCTGTTCTATTGTACAGCTCCATGTCACACGTCACTTCAGCAGGACCCTTTTTCCCGCGGATGTTGCGTAATGTTTGGGCACTCGGGTTCAAAAAGGTTTGCCATCACTGCCCTATGATATCAGGTTCATTTTGCTGCTGGAGTTTGTAATATGTAGCCTTTAATGCTTATGATGAACTAGGGGCAATCTTCATAAAAGCAAATGGGGCAGAAATCTCATGCCCACCACTCCTAGGAGGCCTACCAACAGTGGCATCCAAAATCTCATATACAGTGCCTAGTGCACAGCATAAGGACAGAAACACAGATATTGTCTACCTCTTACCAACCCTAGGTCCAAGCTAATGACTTACTATACAACTAAGGTCTGTCCCCATATGCAACCTAGACTGTCACCCTTATCTGTGCTTTATTTCTTGGTGAGTCACTGATTTTGTCAGATCAATGGCCCACCAAGTAATAAGTCAGTAGATTGGAAGCTCCTTGAGGGCAGGGACTAATGTAAATATACAGTATGTAAAGTGATGCATAAATTGTCAGCACTATCCAAATACCAATTTAAAAAAAATAAAGTGGTGAAGCAAGCACAAAGTTTGCAGCCTTGGGATGTTAACCCTTGCAGTGCAGGGGTAGCCCCACTGCAAGAGTTAATTTGTCATTTGCCTGGAGTTGATGTTTAAGAAGTGTCCTGCTTTCTTTATACAATAGTAAAAAAAACAAATTTTTTGTAAAGTATATTAAAAGATCTGCATAACACATTTTTATTTTTCCACTGCAGCAAAAATGTACCTGACAGTTAATTGCACCATGTAGCTCTCTATTGTGGAATGGCTGTTGTTTTTCATGTTAATGGGAAAAATACTATGTAAGACTAACAAAAGGCATTGTAATTTAAACTAAAATTTTACTGCTGGAGTGGAAGTGCTGAGGAAGGGGCTCACCCACTATTGGTCTTCTCTGGGCTATGCATGTTTGATCTGCTTGGGGCCCAATAATATCATAAAACAGCCCTGTGCACAGTGCTAAATAGTATGAAAGTGTTTTACATTTAGAGAAGAAAAATACAATTTCAAAGTATTTATTAAGCTAAAGCTGGCGGTATGATTGAATTATTTTTTTTCATAAATTTTTTCGGTGTATTTTTTTAATATCCTGCCTGTTCTGCCCCCCTGCGACGCGTACGCTCGCAAGGGACGGAACTCGGAAGACGGATGCCGGCGTCGGCCGGAGAACACAGCGCAAGGGAGAAGGTAAATAATGCTATGCAGCATTCCCGAGTGTAGCTTGGGGTTACTGCTTATGGTATGGAAAAGTAACCCCGAGCTACACTCGGGAATACCGCCAGGAAGGTTAAGCTCTGGAACATTGAACTAAAAAGAAGTATACCATCTACTGATTTTGGAATTTAATGTAAACATTTATAAAAATTGCACTTCCTATCATTATGTCGGTAGGGGGCAGATATCTGGGGACTTCCTCCATGTAGGCAAGGGGCCTGTGGCCTGGTATGGTGGGAGGAGCATAATTGCTGCCCCCCTTTCCTGGCCACCAAGACTGCATGCCTAGATAAGAGTCTGCTTATGAATTTTTGCCTGAGAAATACATTTGCTCATCACTGTTTGAAACCTTTTCAAAACTCTATTTACTAGGCCAAATAGTGATGACTGAAATAGCGAGGCAGCAAGTACAAATATTGAAATTATGTTTCATCGTAATATTTCTGGGTTTAGTCTCTTAAAATGAATGGTCTACTTAAAGATCTTATGGCCCCTATATAAAGAAAGTTAGGTTGAGAGGTGATTTGGGCATTTTACACTAGTGCTTCTCGGGCTCAGATCAGAACCTAAATGCTGGATTTATTATACTGTATATCTGTTTGGTCAGAGAGAACTGAGTGATGTTTAAAAAAAATAAATAAATTATGGAATATATGGAACTACATTAGCTTGAAAAGAACAGCACCTTTGAAATAATACAAAACAGTGCTTATGCATAAAGCAAATGTACAATATAGACATAAATCAAAGTCTGTGAGTTACCAAACTAGGTTTTTAGCTCTCTGGTCATTCTACATTTATAAACAGCTATAAGATAACCTAAGCATCTGGGCTTAGTCTTGGTGACAATGAGTTCAGCAATTTCAGAGTCTTGGTGTGACAGATGTCAACTGACATGATTTAGACATTTTATACTAATGCTGCTTTCGTTTCTCTTAAAGAAGAACACCAGCATTTTTTAAAATTAACCCTTGCAGTGGGGCTACACACTTACTTTGCCTAGGTGGTGAAAATAAAGAAGAAATACTCATCCATTCCTCGGTCCCGCCTGACTGCTTGACCGGTCCCTGCAGCCTCTTCTATCCAGTGCTCTGGCAGTCTAAGGGACTGTGACATCATCAGGTCTAATGCAGTCCATTAGATGTGAGGATACCAGGGGACATACTACAGCCAGAGCAGAGGGGGAGAGAAGTGAGTGATCACTGCTACAGGACCGAGGATCAGGTGAGTATATTCTTTTTATTTGCACCCCTAGACCAAAACAAGCAGTTCATTTTTTAAAATCCTAGCATTCTTTTTTAAGATTTTCCTGAGCTGAGTAACAGGATTTATCATTTATATGTGATGGTGAACTTTTAGGGTCATAGTTGACCATGAAAAGCTTGGGTTTACAGCCATGTGAATTACATTTTGTATAATCGTGCCATATGCTGCACATTCGTTCTTTCAAAGAGTTACTTCTCACAAAAAATGAAAGTGTATTTATTGTTAGAGCATGATGAGATTAATCAGCCCATGACTTCTTATGTATCTTGGTGACTTCAACCAAAAGATCTCCCTGTACTAGTTCTCAGCCCTATTTGTGTCCTTCTGGGAGCTTTGGGTGTTCCTGCTCACCTTTGCTTTTTACAGGATCATCATTCATATTATACAATACAATAAAAACCCAACAGGAAACATGGAAACCATCAATAATGGCCCCAACAGGTGTACAGACCATGCATATAACTACAGGTGTCGTAACATACATAGGGCTATCTTCTAGAGAGTCCTAGATACAATTACTAAGCAGAGTTTCGTTGCATGAGTTCCGGTCCACACTTTTTGCCCTTCAGACCACATCTAAAGTTTTCAAATTCCATCCTGTTTTATAAAAAAATATAACCCCTTTATAAAAAAGCACCTTATATATAATGGTGTGCCCCTGCCTCTTGCTGGAAATTATTTGCATTCCTGTGTATGTTTACATAGCCTCTTTAGAATGGCATAGTTAGGTTTTAATGAACCAGGTGAAAAAAAAAAACAACTGCCAAGATGCACTGTTGGCTCTAAGTGCATTTTTGTCAGGTTGGCACGACAATACTTTTGTAAGGTCAGGTCAGTAACTATGCTGGAGTTTTGTTTAGTTATTATTTCAAAGGGATTCTTGGACTGGACTGCTTCACCTGCAGCCTGTAGACTAGCAGACGAAACATGAGCTATAAGGTTTAAAAAAACTCTTTATAAAATGTGCATTTTGTTTCTAGATGACTGCTCACAGACAGCTGTGTGTTAGAGACACAATGAAATAACACATTTGTAAAGTGAGCTGTTAGAAGAACTCGCTGAGTAAGAGTACAAAGATTTTTTTTTATCTCAAGAAATACTGTAAATAAAAAAGATGTTCTATCTAAAAATGAATAGCAATCTCATTTGCTTTTGTTTTGAAGGTAGTAAATATCTCCAAAGAGGAATGGCAGTGTTCAGATTGCTCTGAAATTAAGAGATGAAATGAAACGCAATGACCTGTTCATATCAACTCTACAGCACAAATAGACAATGAACCTTGGACTAAGCTAGGGCACAGGATATGTTATTGAGCTTTAACAAAACTAATAAAGCTTTGGAATATAAAATATATATTCTGAATTGTGCAAAAGAGTGCTCATTAGTGAGGTCCATTTTTCCGCGTATGAATCAATTCTGATCTATGGATATCTTCTGAAAATGCTGATTGCAAGACTGTTATGCTATATTGGCCCATTTTTGTGTTATGCTGACCTAGAGCATACATGCAGACAGGGGCGTCCTGAGGCCGGGTGTCACCCAGAGCGTGTACCAGGTGACACCGCGCCATGACATCATCACATGTGCGACGACATCACGCACGGTGCGCAATGATGTCACACACATGCATAGCCATCTAGGTAATACCTGCCAGCAGCCATCTTGGTGTTGGACACTGGCAGGGAGAGTAGGGGACGTTCAAAATATAAATTCTGAATTGTGCAAAAGAGTGCTCATTAGTGAGGTCCATTTTTCCGCGTATGAATCAATTCTGATCTATGGATATCTTCTGAAAATGCTGATTGCAAGGCTGTTATGCTATATTGGCCCATTTTTGTGTTATGCTGAACTAGAGCATACATGTAGACAGGGGCGTCCTGAGGCCGGGTGTCACCTGGAGCGGGTACCAGGTGACACCACGCCATGATGTCATCACACGTGCGACGACATCACGCACGGTGCGCAATGATGTCACACACATGCATAGCCATCTAGGTAATACCTGCCAGCAGCCATCTTGGTGTTGGACACTGGCAGAGAGAGGAGGGGACGTTCATTCAGCGGGATCAGGTATGCCACCGGCTCCCCTCCTCTCTCGTGCAACTGTCGGGCTTTCGGTCCATGAACGACTGCCCGACTTTTTACAGGGGGTGACACCAAAATGACTGTAGGTCATTTTGGTGTCACCTGGATGCGGGCTGCACCCCCCTTAGTGATGCGACTGCATGCAGATACAGACTCAATTCCTTGGACCTGCATACTAAATCCAGGTATTGAAGGAGTGAGTCATTTTTGCATGGCAGCCAAGCAACAAGCTTTTTTAGAAGCAGAGATCAGCAATACCATGTGTTTTAAAAGCCTCTGATGGAAGCTCCCCAGATCAAAGGCATCAGATCAAAAACGACTCTAATTAGAAGGCAGTGACTTGATTTACAGTGAAGCAGTACAGGTTAATTTCTATGCCCTGCTATGCAGTTTAAAGTGACATTAAACCCTCAGATTTTTTAACATAAACCAATACTGTAATGTGTGCCCTACAGTAATCCATGGTTGTTTCCCTTCTTTTTGCTGCTCTTCCTTTAAAATCTGTATCTGTTCTCATGCTTTGCAGAACTTCTGTTTTGCAGCAGACTGCCTTGTCTCTGGAATAGCTACATGGTGTCTGGTTGTACGTTGTCAACCTGAGCCAGCACTACAGGAAGAGGCACTCAGCTGCATAGGGAAGTTCTCCCCCAGCATGAGAAGACATGAGGATTTAAAAGGAAGAGCAGTAAAGAGAAGGGAAACTACCATGGATTACAGTAAGGCACACATTACAGTATTGTTTTATGTTAAAAAATCTGAGGGTTTAATGTCACTTTAAGTGTTAGGTAATGACTGTTCCTATTAAGGTTTCTGAGTTATTATATATTTTATTTGGTGACACATTACTATAAGTATTTTTGCTGATTATTGAGGATTCAGATTATTTTTCCACACCCTAGAACTGCCCAAAAGATCTCACGTTCTTTTTTTTTATACTGCTACAAGAAATTGCCCCCTTCTGAAAACATCAGTCTGGTGGGGGCTGGTTGGTTTAAAAATTTTGTCTGGTTACAATAACATTGTACATAAAATAACAATATATACATTATTTTAAATAAAGACTTTTCACCCCTTCTGTGTCCCACACTTTGGGGTCTAGTTATACATTTTTTTCATTGGATATTCATACAACTTTAACCCATGATTCACACATTTGCCAATTAAATCCAATTAGAAAAATTTGGGAATCTTAATGTAAAGCTGTGGGAAGCTTGGGAAGCTTGGAAAAAGACAGTTATAAATAGCCTGCATTGTATCTTCAGATAAATTTGGGTAAGTGTCATTGCTCTAGGACTCACAGCTCCCGTATGAATAAATGTCATACAGATTCATTATATTACCTTGACAGTGGGACTCTGACACATATGGTCCATTCCTCAATGTATGAGGTTAATTATCTAATGTAACAATTAGAAAACATTTGTCAAATGGAAACTATAGTGATAGTTTATAGTTTTTTAACTGATGTTTTATATATTTTTTTACTATTTATATACAATCTTTGTTTTACAAAAGAACATTCCATACAGGGTGAACCCAAGACGTTGTATTTGCTATTACATAGGGGGCTTTTTTATCCCCCTATGCAATAGCAATAAAGCTGAGTGGAAAAAAAAAGTATAAAAATTAAACTAACATAAAAAAATAAAAATGCAAAAAAAATTGCCCCCCACGTGCACGCAAACACGCGTCAGATGAACCTACGTACAAAAATTGCGCCACACATGTTACATATCGCCGTGAGCGTTCTAGGCCCATCAATCACTGTTAGCACTAAACTGATGAGGGTAAATTCAAAAATGGCTTGGCCAGCTGATTTGAAAAATGTTCCGGAGGGCTTGGCAGCGAAAGGGTTAAAGCAACGCCTATGGGAGATTTTGGTTATTGTAGTATTTTGTGGTTTCATGGATGCACGCAATTTTATGATTTGATATGTTTGGTATATATTTACCCGACGCGACCCCATCATTTACTGTATATTTTACCAAAAAAATGGGCATTATATTCTGTTTCTGTGCAGTAAATTTCATTTTAGTGTATTTTATCCTAAAAATACTAGTTTGGTAAACATTTGCGCAAATACTGTGCGACATAAAAAATTTCAACTAGCATCTTTTTAATCTACAGAGCCTCTGCTTTCAGAAAATATATAATATGTTTGGGGGTCTGAAGCTGTTTTCTAGCCAAAAATTCTGATTTTATCATGTGTGTGCAAATGTAAGTGGTTAAATCATTGCATTGTATGTGTGAATTTCAGCAAGAGTTGCTCAGCTCACATATTTATTACATTGTATTTTGTAGCTATGTATATATGTTTATATTTCCATGTAGCCTTCGCTATCTCTTTTTATACAAAAAAAAAATATTTAAAACATTTTCACACTCTCCAAATACTCAAAAGATACATAATGATCTATATTGTATACTGCATTCTGATGGATTCATAATATGTTGTTTTGTTTTAAATGCATAATTTGAACTAATATATAATGATAACATTCCTACACGAAATAGAATCATCCATGCAGTCAGTTTACTTAGTATGACATGTGTGTTCCCTATTATGGGTCAGTTATTATCTTCTAGTCAAATTCATTCTGACAATCCAGGCACGTAGGTTACTAAAGAACAATAAAGATCTGTGCTGTACAGGTTCATCATACTCTGCACAGTTTCTACAATACACTTGTTTTGACACAATCCCAGACTTCTCTATAGAGAACATTCTGAAGAGCATCTGTCACAACACTAAATTGGTGACAGTTTGTGACAGTTCATACGGGAGGAAGATCAGCTTTAGCAGACTACAGGTAAGGCATTGCAAAGCTGCAGATCTGCTAAGAAAACAACCCCTAATGTGTTTGAAGCCTTATAGTATTTTTGCATAAAGAAAAAAAAGGGAAAGTTTTCCATTTGTCCAAAATCACTTCAGTAAACAGAGGACAAATTGGCCCATTCTCTGTTTTATTGTTGTTCAAAAGATTTTGCAGATAGCGTGCAGCAGACGCAAGCCAGCTCATTTCAATAATGTAATAGTGAAAGAAAGAGGTGAAGAGTAATATTTCATATCCTTATATCTGCGAAATCATTCTCAGGAATCCTACTAAAGGGATTTTCACTGCTCCTTTTCTCTTTGTGATGAATTCTCCATTCCATTAATACACAAGGAATACACAGCACTTGTTTTTATAATACGTGTTCTTACCAGGTTAGCGAGCATATAATGGTAGCCCCGTGTGTGCTTACCAAGGATTACAACCTACAAGAAAAGAGAAAGAGATCAAGGATTAGACTGGATGTCCTTCTTAAAGTACCGGTAACCCTGAAAAAATTCTATTTGTGTAATGCTGCTTAAAATACAGTGTAAATACTATCTTTTTTCTTAATTTTAGGCAGCTCTTGCATGAAAAAGAAACCATTTCACCAACTGAATTATTTAATCCTTCAATTCCAATGTCTTGTTTTAACAAAGCAAAAATTAGTGGTTACTATGTTCTGTTAGCAAAATGCTCTCAAAAAATGTTCTCTTTTTTTATTAGTAATGTCACAAGCGCCAATAATTCAAATAATATGGATCTGGTAGGCATTCTGGTTTGTGCTAAATGAGAGAGCCAGTTTTGTGGTAGCCCAGAGACAAGAAGGAATGGTCAGACACAAGTCTTCTTCATTGAACAATTAGAATATATTTACACAAAAAGATCAATTAATTGTTTGCTATAACAATTGTTATTTGCCATAATGACCCCTATTACCAGCAATAGGAATTGAAAATGACATTGTTATTCATGAAATCAACAACTATTGAAGCAAATAGCCCATATTACAGCTTATTACATTGACCCTTATATGTTTTTAAAGAAAAACTGTACTGAGAAAAATGATATGGCTGCCACTGTGCTGCTATTGCTGAATTCCATCTAAAATACTATTTGACTTGCTGTCTCTGGCTTCAAAACTTTCTGAGTCAGTAACCAATTAAAAGCATGAATATTAGAAAATCGGAGTAAAGACAGGGCTCTTGAACTGCATTCTTGCTCTAGGTCAGTGACTTGGAAAATATGGTAACCATTGAATTTGCAGTTTTAGAGAAATTATCTGCTGGATTTCAGGTTCAGGAATGCTTGCTAACGTTTTTAATGTTGATTTTTTTATTTTCTAAAATGTGCAAACATTTACAGTTTGTCACATTGGGCCTCCTAGACAGAAATCTGCATGCACAGAAAATATGTGTGCACTATAGAATCAGTTAATAAATTATAAGCTTAAATTTGCCATATGTTTCATAATCAAAGACAGAAGTATCAGAAACTATGGGGTCTATTCACTCAGCTGCCGTAGGCAGCTGAGTGAATGACCGACCTGAAGTGAAGTGAGCCGCCGAACATCTGCCGTAAACAAAAAACGAAAAAAAAAAACCTCTCCCGGGCGCTCTGGGAGCGAAACACTGCTGTGTCTTTCTTTTTCTTTATTCTGACACGAAGCGATGTCAGAATAGAGAAAAAAAAAATTTCCCATTGAAATGCATTGCTACATTACTATTGGCTATTTCAATTTGCAATAGCCAATAGTACCAGTACTAGCATTTTACCCGCCCTCTGCTGATGGACCTGATGGAGAACTACAGCAGAGGGCGGGTACAATGCTAGTTTACTATTGGCTATAGCAAATTGAAATAGCCAATAGTAATGTAGCAATGTATTTCAATGGGAATTTTTTTCTCTTCTCTATTCTGACATTCTTTAAAGTAGTATTAAACTCTCAATCTTTTTTTTTCAATAATGAATCCAGATTAAACAAACATACATTGCCCAGCAAAGTATTTCTTTAAATATTTGCCCAAACTCTTACAATCATCATGTTGCCAAACAGCTCTAACTCTCTCACCTCAGCTTCCCTGAACTTCATGTCCAGCAAAGATCACAAGGAATAGCACAGTATCCAGCCTGAAGAAGTGAAAGGGAGGAGGGGAGCAGGGGGCAGGAAAGAGACTTGCCTTGCTGCGCCTGTGTGTTTGTGGAGACATGCACAGCTTACTAGCATATGCGTTCGGCTCGACTGAGCCGCTCGGCCAGGTTCGGGAGCTGTATGGGCTATAGTGAATAGCCCGTACAGCACCCCTTCGGTTCTACTGAACCGAAGGGGTCCTGGGGCCGAAGCTAGCCGAAGCTAGCCGAAAGATGGGCTGAAGCTACGGCTAGATCCTTCGGCAGCTTTGTGAATAGACCCCTATGTATTACTTATATAAGAGTTAATTAAACATATATCTGCACTCACAGTTTTCTCTTAGTCCCCCTGCAATGTTTCACAAAAACCTGTAGATCATGTCAGTGAAGTCCACCTAATGCATCTTCCTGTGATTGGTTGGCAATGACACTGCACTGCTCCTGAATACAAAGCAGAGTTGACACTCTCATACAGCCTGTGCCGGCTTGCACAATAGTGGCATAAAAAAAGGAGTTGCAGGAGTTTTGGCCACCAGCATTGTCACAGCTAATTCACAAGCTTGCAGCTTGTCAGTCAGCACCTGGCTACTCCTATTGATGCCCACTGCTTTTTGGATGGATAGAACTGCCTCTGTTGGTGAAACTCTCCCACTGTTAGCTGCAGTTTGGGAGGGTATGAAAATTTGGTTTGGAAGTAATTTATGAGGCTTGTCAAAAAATAACTGGATTAGTTACTTCTGTCATACATGAACCTTTAGCTGTACTTTCATGTTTCCTGAATTATAACAATGAAAAAAACATGCTTCTACCCCTTCGCCTGAGTATTTATTCCTAACTGTGAGATATCCCCTCATTCCCTTTTCTGGTGATTTGACAGAGGTTCTAACTGTTTTCCACTGTAACCAAAGCAAAAAATGTTTGACTGGTGTTCTGCTTTAAGCATACTAAACAAGGGTTCGCTAATACCTATTTTAACATTCTATCAATATTTTTTGTATTCTCTCATTACACATAGACTGTGACCTTTCAATGACCCTTGGTGTCTTTAATGATTTGTAATTACATGATAATTTTCTTCTCACATCACAGGCTCTCAGTTCATAAATATTAATACATATGAATATGATCTTTTTCTCAGTAAGCTGAAGCAAGCTTGTCCAACAAGAGGTCAAGGCATAGCACATATCTAGGACATGTTTAAGATGACTCAAGGTTATTAATGCTTATTTGATTAGCACATGCCTGTGAAAATAATTACTGACCTTCATCATTTGAGATCAAAGTGTTGGATTATTTAAAATACAACGTTTTGCATATGACATATTGCTGCAATTGCAAATAGTGACAGTACAGAATTATAAAAGTATGGAATTTCATGCTTAGACGAAGGTGATCCATGGACATTTCAAATATTTGAAAAAAAAGACATTAAAGGCTGTTTTCTGTTAAGCATACTCTACACACAGGAATGATCTCCACATGTTCTCTACTACAATCATTATGTATCGGAAAACAAATTCATTCACTGAAGATCAAAATCCAGGACCCCACCAGGGAATATACAGTAGAACTTACTAAACTTATCAAATCCTTCCCAAAACATATACAGCAAGGATTACTTAATCTGTTACCTTCCAATCCTCACAGGAAACCCAGGACGACCCATTATTACAGGTATGGAAACTTGCACACTGGCTGATGCATTTCGGTGAAAGGGCTATAGGGAAAAGATTATTTCTAAAAAGATTAAATCTGCCCTAAGAACCACACGGGAAAGACTGCTACAGTACAAAGAGAAGAAAAACCCAACCAGGACCCCTCTTGTAGTTACCTACAACCCTACTCTAGAGGTAATACGCAAAATAATCAAAGATTATACAGCCAGTACTCTCAGAAGACCCCATACTTAAATAAATATTCCCTCAGCCCCCAATACTAGCATTCAAGCAACCACTTAACCTGAGAAGAAAATTGGTACGCAGTAAGCTGACCCCAGAACAGGCGCTTACACAGAATGGCACAGTACAATGCAATAAGCCCCGCTGCAAACTTTGCCAACATATATGTGACAGAAATACAGCGAGTCACAATAACAAAGCGTACACCATATATATAAATATAAAATGAAAATGTTTGTATAAGTCCTTGTGCATAGTTAAACAGTTCAATAAAATCATATTGACTGCTGTAATGTAATGCTGACACTAGGTTATGGGGACAATGGATGTAAACCTATAGTGGGGTATCCAGGAATCTGTTACAGCTTCATTCTTAAAGTGACATTAAAGCAAACTGATGAAATACTAGGATGATTATTACTGTCATACAAATAATGTTAGTGTGGTCCAACAAGTAATTGTTGGTATATTGGACAGGTGCTTTATGTAAAAAAAAACAGCAGAACATATTTATGCTTCTATGTGTATGGTCATGATTGAATGGTAAACAGATAATTTACAAAATGGGTGAAAGAGCAAGATCAAGAATCAGAATGTTGAGTTATATATAAAAAGAAGAAACAGGAGCACACTGGTTGTTTTGGTTGTCCAAAATATGAAACCTGTCAGTTGGCATTGAAAAAAAAAATAGATTTCTAATATCTTTCATAAAGAGAGAGAGAGAGGGCTTTCAGGATCCAATAAACAAAACACATGTATAGTCACCCACTGTTGTAAGATTAGAACATGAAACTGAGCAGTTTTAACACAGTATGACTTACATACTATAGTTCTCAGAGTTAAACCATAATATATCAAACAAGTTTAGGAACAGGGTCTATGAAAGCTGGTTCCATTTCCACAAGATCAGCAGGAGTTGCTTAGATTTGTTGCAGAAGAATGGTTTTTGTGCCTCCTGCTGCCTTACGGACAGTAAAATTATGGATTGACACATAAAAGTTGTAATGTAGTGGTTTATGTTGCTGTTTTCAATTTATTTGGCCACCACCTGCAAATTTCATACATGCTGTATGTCAGTTCAATGGCAATCTCCCATATTTTTTTATGCACGGAGCTAAGGAAGGTCTTAAAAAGATTACCAAAGCATTTACTGTACAGAATAGTGCCGCATTTGTAGCATTAAACTGAAATGTAACAGCATGGCTGGTGTATTTCAAATCTTGCCAGGAGAAGACTTTCAGGAGTGCTGGATTTGGTACTGTTCTAACATCTTAATGTGTATCCGCATCTAAGAGCAAAAATGTAATATATTGCAGCTTACCAGTACTGAGATGTGGCAGCTTAATTTGTTATTATTTTTTGGGTTTCTTTTCCTTTTTCTCCCTGGAGATCCTGTCAATAACACACTTCCTGTTCTA